TGGTCCCTGGACGGGACGCGGAGGTTCTAAGTGACCTACCCCAGGAGGTAGCCCTCACTATCGCTTCAGCGCGTGCGCTGTCCACAAGACAGGCCTATGCGCTGAAGTGGAACCTGTTCGTCGAATGGTGTTCCTCCTCTTAGGGGGGCCAGAAGGTTAAATCCTCCTAGGCCTTCCTCCCTGCCCTCTTGAGATATGGCATTGGTGCTAAAAGCCCTACAAACTGCCCCCTTGGAGCCTTTGCAGTCAGTCGAGTTGAAGTTTCTTTCTATTAAAAACCCTGCTCCTGACTGCATTGGCCTCGATCAAGTGGGTGGGGGACCTGCAGGCATTTTCGGTCGTCGAATCGTGCCTTCAGTTTGGGCCGGCTGATTCCAGTGCAACACTGAGACCCCGGCCCGGCTATGTGCCCAAGGTTCCTACCACTCCCTTCAGGGACCAGGTGGTGAACCTGCAGGCGCTGCCCCTGGAGGAGGCAGACCCAGTTCTAGCTTTGCTCTGTCCTGTACGCGCACTGCGACAGTGCGTGGATAGAACTCAGAGCTTTAGGACCTCAGAACAGCTCTTTGTCTGTTACAATGGACAGCAGAAGGGGAAGGCTCCACTAGGGGTGTTGCGTTGTCCTGGGCGCTGGCTCGTGGTGCCTCACTAGCATACATTGTTAGAGCTGCGGGCTGGGCAACTCCTAACACATTCGCTAGGTTCTATAGTCTGCGTGTCAAACCGGTTTCCTCCTGTGTTCTCACCTCAAACGGGTAGTGGCACTGAGAGGCTCTGTTCAGAGTCGGCTTGCGGCGTCCTGGACGCCTAGTTCTCCAGAGAGTACCCTGACCGGGCAGACCCTGTTGAGTCCTCCAGCACTCTGGCGTGTGTCCGGCGCCAGGCCTTTCAGCCAATGAATTCCTGAAATCTGGTGTGAGGCTAGTGCTCATATGAGTGACCCGGTTGGGATCCCATATGTGTATTTCCACGGTACACCTACTAAGGCCGTGTTTCCCCTGGCAGACCACATTCTGCCGTCTCTAAATGATGCAGCCATGAGCCATCTCAGAGACTTCCATGTGCAGTAGGGCCCCTCGGGGTTACTCCGTGTGAGTAAATGTCAATTAACCCCCTCTGGGAGGAGGTGACTCCGCAGTGTGGCCTCTTCCAAATGGAAGGGCACACTTTCCCAGTGTTATCCAAGTCCTAGGAACAACTGTAGTCGACCTTCTCAGTGTAGAGCCCGGTCCTATCGTCTGCCTTATAGGAAGGATCAGGAGGCCTACATAGGGCACTGGAGGGGGCAGCACCTGTGGCATGTTGGTAGGGATCCCAATTCGTCTCGGTTACGTATGTAACCCTCGTTCCCTAAAGGAGGCAACGGAGACGTCACGTCCCGTCGCCACAGTTGCTGTACCACCACTGAGCTGCCGGGTCACCGGCTCGGCTCCTCAGCGCAAGCATGAATGAATGCGGTGCACCTGCTGCCTCTTATACTCACGCTGTGATCAGCGGCAGCTGGATGCAGTAATTGCCTGCCAATGTGCATTGGCTAGTTTAGTTACACTCTAAGTGGATTGGTCTCTCTGGCGAGATCCCAAATCACCGACGAAACTTCTCCGTTCCCTCCTTCAGGGAACGAGGGTTACATACGTAACCGAGATGTTCAATATAATCGTGATAAGAAATTTTTCATACCGTTACATCTCTAGTTCGACTGTATGCATACACTAGTGCAGTGTTTCCCAACCACTGTGCCGCGGCACACTAGTGTGAAAAATTATCAAAAACTTCCTATCTCTATTATATTTCGTTATTACTATTTTAAATCAGTGCTATTGGTCATAGTTATGTCAGTTTGTAGGTTTTACAAATATTTAACCAATGAAAAGCATTCAAAAGAGCTTGTGACTAAACCTCGTAACGCCATTGGATCCTCAAACTGTCAGTCAAACCTCATAACTCCACCCGCCTCTATTCAGAATGTAGCGCAGCAACATGCATTCTGAAGACTTCTTCACAATGTAAGGCTAAATAAAGAACTGATTTTTGAATAAGTTCAGAGTTTTCTTTACTCAAGAAACTGTCGGTAAAGGCTGATGTTTTTGTGTGTTTGAAGAGTGGAGAAGAGTCTAAGCATTTGCCATCTATTTGTAGCAATACACTTTTGTATGTTTTAAATATCCTACGGAGCCCCTAAAGCAGAGGCGGCCCGCCGAACACTTTCATTCAGCCCGCGAGGGAGTTTTTAAAAATGCTACATTTGAATAACGGTTTTAGTTCAGAATTACTAATTTGATGAAATACAAGCGAAGGCCATTTGATGGCAGTATAGTATGTGGTACAGTTATCGCCTACAGTAGAATTAGAATGCACTCGGTAACTCAGACGTTAATGAGTGAAAATGAGTGTGGTGAAAAAAAATGAAAAGTAGACTCTGAATGTCGTGTGTTCAAGGAAGAATGGACAACAAAATACTTATTCACCAATATCGGACAGAACGGCAGTATGTCTAATATGCCAAGAAAGTATTGCGTTTTTTAAAGACTAAAACCTCAGTCGCCATTTTTCAAGCAAGCATTCGAATTATGCTGTCAACCTGTCACCTGCAGAAAAGGCAAACAAGGCTTTAAAACTTGCCACAAACTTAAAAGCCCAGCAAAATACATTTACGAAACAGTGCTCTATTCAAGAATCTGTAACGAAAGCTAGTTATGTAGTGGCACATAAAATTGCAAAGCACAGCAAGGCTTTTTCAGATGGGGAATTTGTGAAAGACTGTATGGTGGAGACTGCTGACATACTTTGTCCTGGTTCTAAAAGTCAGTTTGAGAAAATTAGCTTATCGCGGAGAACAATTACCAGGTGCGTGGAAGTAATTGCAGAGGAGCTGCTCTCCGAACTGAAAAAAAAAGCGGACGGCTTCAGTCTTTTTGTTATCGCACTTGATGAAAGTACTGACATCACAGACACTGCTCAACTTTTGATTTTTGTCAGAGGAATAAAATGAAAATTTTGAAATAACAGAAGAACTCCTCGGGATGGAATCAATGATGGGAACGTCCAGGGGCATGGATTAGTATGACAGTGTGTCCGTCTGCCTGTAATAAAATAACCTGCCGTGGAGAAAGCTGACAAGCGTCACAACAGATGGATCGCCAAATCTAACCAGTAAAAACACTAGACTGCTAAAAAGGTTACAAGACAAAGTAAAAGACGAAACCCCCGAACTCAGAAGAACTGATATTTCTTCACTGAATCATACACCAGGAAGCCTTGTGTAAAAGTGTGTTGAAGCTAGAAAATGTTGTCAAAGTGGTTGTGAAGCTTGTTATACGGGCAAGAGCGCTGAACCACCGGCAGTTCATTCAGCCGCTTAACGAAACGGAGGCAGAGCACCATGACCTCTTGTACCATTCAAATGTGTGCTGGCTAAGTCTCGGCAATGTGTTTCACCGTGTCTGGGAACTAAAAGGTGAGATAGCAACGTTCCTCAATATGATTGGCAAAACTGATGACTTCCCCAAATTACAAGACACAGACTGGCTGGCCGACCTCGCGTTCGGTGTCGACACTGTAATGTCTGATTACTTTTCTTAGGGAATTAATTATTATTAATTAATTCAGGTTTTGAGAGGACTCGAATCTGAAAATTCGGAGTCAACCTGATTAGAACTGATTTCAAATTTGATAGTTTACACTTTATCAATGGTCGTCCAGCGAGACGTGGGAATTCCGGAGCTTCTGATTGGTTGCTGAGATGACATTTGGCTGACGTCATTTCTGGGAATGTCCTCGGCGGTGATTGGTTGTGTAACGAATCAGCTCATGGGAAATATGAATAATTAATCATAACTAGTTATAATTAATGGTTACAAGACAAAGTAAAAGACGAAACCCCATACTCAGAAGAACTGATATTTCTTCACTGCATCATACACCAGGAAGAATTGTGTAAAAGTGTGTTGAAACTAGAAAATGTTGTCAAAGTGGTTAAGCTTGTCAACTTTATACGGGCAAGAGCGCTGAACCACCGGCAGTTCATTCAGCTGCTTAACGAAACGGAGGCAGAGCACCATGACCTCTTGTACCATTCAAATGTGCGCTGGCTAAGTCTCTGCACTGAACGATGACACATCTGAACGATCTCAATTTGAGACTTCAGGGAAAGGACGTTTTTGTGCACGAACTGTACAGCAACGTGAAAGCGTTCAAGGCCAAACTTGTACTGTTCTCCAGACAGATATTCAAATTTCGCTCATTTTCCTACACTTACCGAACTAAGCACACCAATAACACAGTATGCATTGAGACGTACAGCAGCACTTTGATTGACCTGCATGCATAATTTTCCCGCTGCTTCACAGACTTTTTCAAAAATTGAGACTGAGCTTGAACTTGTCTCATGCCCCCTATCTTTTGACAGTGAGAAAGCACCACCAGACACACAGCTGGAACTCATCGATATCCAGTGTGACAGTACTTTGAAGGAGAAGTTTCAGACAGCACCAGTTAACCAGTTTTATGCCTCACTGGATGAAAAAAAAAAAAATCCCAAACATTAAAAAGCATGCCCAAAGAATGCTTTATTTGGATGGATCCACATATGTGTGTGAACAAACCTACTCAGTCATGAACTACAACAAATCCCACCGCAGATCAAATTTAACAAACGACCACTTGTCAGCTATCCTGGGGATCTCTACATCAAAGATCACTCCAGACTTTGACACCCTTGCAAGGAGAGGGGACCAGGCTCATTGTTCACATTCACACACTGATAACCACGACTTGGAAAGAAAAAGACTAAGGTTCTCCTTCAGTTTTTATCAGACATAGTTTTATGATGATTGATATATACATACTAATAGCAGTGCAAATGAGATTGTCTGTTGTAAATTTGACTCAATAATAGATATTAAATAATAATTTTTGTTTAATGTGTTAATGTGACAAATGTTTCTGTCAGATAATATATGTCCCATGCATACCTCCACTGTAAATAAAAGTTATTTTATCAAGGATTTGGCATGCGGCCCTTCACTTGGTTTGCAAAACTTGATGTGGCCCTCTGGTCTAGACTCAATAATAGATATTAAATAATAATTTTTGTTTAATGTGTTAATGTGACAAATGTTTCTGTCAGATAATATATGTCCCATGCATACCTCCACTGTAAATAAAAGTTATTTTATCAAGGATTTGGCATGCGGCCCTTCACTTGGTTTGCAAAACTTGATGTGGCCCTCTGGTCTACAAAGTTTGCCCACCTCTGCCCTAAAGTGACATTGGCAAAAATTTAAAAAATGAAGACTTTCACGTGCGCACGAGAAAATTTTTGCTAGCTCGCGCGTTTTCCGGTTGCATCACTTCTGCCATCTTACAAAGAAGAAAACGAACATGGTTGTGCATGGATTAGCCTAATTGAGATCTATTTTGGCCTTCAATACGAAAACATTGTTTCTGTTCTTGCATTCCGACACAGACAAATCATCACTGAGCAGCATAAGAACAACTTTTCCCCTCAGGCTATATTCCACCTGAACAATACATAACATCTCAGGACTGTACAGCTGTACATTGCTTCTCAATACTTTTCATCTGTAAAATCGCACGTTTGCACATTCATAATTCTTTCTGTTTTCTCTATATTTTGTACATAACTTCCTAAAACATTTGCACATTCATAATTCTATTTGATCTATTTTTTATTACCATATATTTATTCTTTATTTTTGATAATTATTACTTTAATTCAGTAAGGTTTTCAATAACTGCTGTTAGTTTTGTTTCATTTTAGTTTTTAATTTCTTTCTTTCTTTCTTTCTTTGCTTAAATGCCTTTATTTTTGTAAATTCAGTTCTTAATACAACATATTTTGCTGTTTAAACATGTATACAATATTTCTTACAGTTAAACTCGTTTAACAAGCATTTTAGAAGTAAAATTAAATATTTACCCCTGGTTTCACAGACAAGGTTTAAGCCTAATCCCAGACTAAAATGTAAGTCTTAGCTGTTTCAACTGGAAGAAACTTGCACTGACTGATGTTAAAATATATCAGTGCCTTTGTTTTGTCTCAAGATGCACACCAGTAATGTTTTTTTTTTTTTTTTCTAAACATGTTTATAAAAATTACTTGAATGTCCTAATTGAACTATGGCCTAATCCTGGCTTAGTCTTTGGGGCCTTAATCTTTGTGAAAAGACCAATGCGGCTTGTTTGTGACTGACATCGCGTCCCTTTAGTTTGCTTTGCATAAAATAAAATGATTTACAGCTGTTACGTCCGAGGACGTATTTAATGTGTTATAATTGTGTACATGTGTGTGTTGGATGTGTTCTCTTTTTGTTCTCTCTCTCTCTCTCTCTCTCTCTCGCTCTCTCTCTCGTGACCAGACAGACGCTCCAATCAGCTGTGTTCAACCTGGTGATGTCTGGGGTGATTGGATAATGACGGGAAGGAGTGGAAATATAAGAAGAGTTTGATCTGTGGAGAGGGGAGAGAGACTTTCTTTCACCAGGGCAATTCTTCCTCCTTTTTGCTCAGACTCATGTATTATGTTAGTTTGGTGATTTATTTCTGAGAAAGTGAACTCAGGGATTTGTTGCGCTCTTTAATGGAAAGAGACTTGCAGTTGTTTAACACTTTTTGATTATTCCTATGTCTTATGTTAGTTATGTTTGTTAGTATTTTTATGCTTTTCTTTATGTAAGGGAATGTAGGGGGAGGGTGCCATTTTTGTTTGTACTACTCTTTTTCTCCTGGTTATGGGCAGACAGGTAGAGAGGGAAGTGTATTGTATTTAATTTATGGATAATCTTTTTCTAGGTAATTTATAAAGGTTCTTGGGTTAGTTAGTTTAGTTTTGTTTGTTATTTTTGGCCTAGCTCTTCCCTGAAGTCTTTGTTCCCTAAACATGACCCTACCAATATCCAGCGACTGCCAAGTTGTCCCTAGCAATAATTTTGATCAAACAATTAAATATATGTTTTTGTCATTTACGATTGTCAGGATTCTGGACTGTTCTGTGTCATGTTTTGCCAATGTTTCTGGTCCTGTGTTTCCTTATTTGGTCCTTCCTGTTTCCATTAGGTTCCCTGATTAGTTCATCATTTATTTCCAGCTGTGTTTAGTTAATTATCCTCATTTCCCTGTGTACTTAAGTCCTAGTCTGTTCAGTTTGTGTTTGTCAGGTCTACACGTTCTAAGTGTGTTGGCTCAAGCTCCTATTGTGGATTATCTCCTGTGTTTCGTGATTAAAGACTGTTAAACATTTCCTCATGACTCCAGTGTGTTCCCTCAACGGTGTGACGTGATAACGATGCATCTGAAATATGTCATACCATTGATATTACCTAAGAAGTTAAAGCAAATACGTTAGAAAACTGCGTGCTTTCCAATACGCAGATTTAAAACATGGGCGGACTAAGAACAGTAGCACACCGGACCAGAAGCGCAGTGTGTTGCCAGAGCCGCGTTTGGAACAACTCACCCAGTTCAAGACAGCAGTCCAAAACAGTTAGAATAAAAGTTCTAAAAAAAGGTGCTCTGCTCTTATGTCCCCACCAATGTCAAAAGCAAACCTACGCAATCTGCAAAGGTGCATTAAATCTGACAAATTGGTTTAATAAAATAAGTTTTAATCATTAAGAATATTTTAACACATTTACCGTACCAATATATAGGCCTACTTTAAAGGCCAGTTATATACAGTGGGTACGGAAAGTATTCAGACCCCCTTAAATTTTTCACTCTTTGTTATATTGCAGCCATTTGCTAAAATCATTTAAGTTAATTTTTTTCCCTCATTAATGTACACACAGCACCCCATATGTACATTAATGAGGAAAAAAAATTTACTTAAATGATTTTAGCAAATGGCTGCAATATAACAAAGAGTGAAAAATTTAAGGGGGTCTGAATACTTTCCGTACCCACTGTATGTGTAATGTCAGCCACCTAAACGAGCAGCATCGGTCTTTTTGGCACAATGAAATGTTTCATTTTACTTCTAAAATGCTTGTTAAACGAGTTTAAATGTAAGAAATATTGTATACATGTTTAAACAGTAAAATATGTCATATAAAATATGTTATGTATTGAAAACTGTATTTAACGAAAATAAAGGCATTTAGGCAAAGAAAGAAAGTCAAAAAATGAGAAACTAAAATGAAACGAAACTTATTAACAGAAGTTTTTGAAAACATAACTGAAATAAAGTAATAATTATCAAAAATAAATAATAGATATATGTTAATATAGATAAAATAGAATTATGAATGTGCAAATGTTTTAGGAAGTTATGTACAAAATACAGAGAAAATAGAAAGAATTATGAAACGAGTTATTAACAGCAATTGTTGAAAACCTAACCGAAATTATATAATTTTCCAAAAAAAAATATATATATATATATATATAGAAATATATATTAAAATAAAAAAATATACATACAGTATATATATATATATATATACATATATATATATATATATATATATTGCCCTATTAAAATTCAAAATTTAAGCACTTTTTACTGTACCAATCGCTCCTAGACCACAAAATGCATTTTAAATGTCAGAATCAGAAAGAGCTTTATTGCCAATTCGTCTTGGTGACAGGAGCATCCAGTGGAGAAAGTACAGACATAGTGCAAACATACATATAATTTACGGTAGAATGAAATATAACACTAATAATAAAGAGAATAGAAAATAAATTTAACTAATAATAGCTATATGGTAATACAAATATACATAAAATAGAATTATGAATGTACAAATGTTTTAGGAAGTTATTGTCACACCCCTGTGGACTGTTGAGTGTGGTTTCTCCCTCTGTGTCCTTATTTGGTTGTTCCTGTTCTCGTTATTAGTAAATCACCTCATTGTGCTCACCTGTCTGCCCCTCGTTATCTGCCCTTTATCAGTTCCTGTCTCTTGTATTCGACATCTACAGACACAGTCTGCACACAGTCAGATCATCTACAGATGCACACAGTCAGATTATCTACAGACGCACACGGTCAGATCATCTACAGACACACACAGCCTGCACACAGTCAGATCATCTACAGACACACACAGTCAGATCATCTACAGATACACAGTCAGAACATCTACAGACACACACAGTCAGATCATCTACAGACACACAGTCAGATTATCTACAGACACAGTCTGCACACAGTCAGATCATCTACAGACAAATTCTGCACACATTCAGATCATCTACAGACACAGTCTGCACACAGTCAGATCATCTACAGACACAGTCAGATCATCTACAGACAGACACAGTCAGATCATCTTCAGACACACACAATCAGATCAT